GGAGTGTTATCACCTTTGAATCTGGTGATGGACGAGCTGATAGAGCTACTGAATAGCAACAACCATCAAGTAGTGGGATATGCAGATGACTTGGTCATAATATCCCAGGGAAAATTCAACCATACAGTTAGAGATCGCATGCAGCAGCCTCTAACAATGGTCTCTAGGTGGACAGAGACTGTAGGGTTGAAAATTAGTGCCACCGTAATATGGAGGTAACACACCCTGTATATTTGTTCTAATTAGTATTGTTGATAATGATTGTGCAGTAATTGATTATATATATTTTTGTTATACATATTTCTACACTCTCAGCACTGACCCACTGAGACCAACTAATTATGGTAATACCTAGAGAATATAGAACTATGTAGAACAGAAAGGTTGTTTTACTGAACCCTGATTTAGAATAACCTAAATCCTTACATGGCGATCCTGCCAGTTCTTTGTGCTATTTAGAGGTAAAACAAGAATTGGCAAACTTGAAAATGGGTAGCGCAATCTTATGGTGACGCAAAAAGCCAGGTTTCGAATAATGGATTTACCTTATCTGAGTTTCTTTTAATCGTTCTGGTAGTATTGGCAGTTCTGGGTGTGGTATACCTTATAACCAGACGGTGGAAAAAGCATTTGCAAGGACGAGCTCATGAAGTCTAAGGAACACAGTAAGAGAGGAGCTGAAGGAATGGATCAAAGCAAAACATGATCAATATTGGAAGCAAATACCCAAGCATGCACATGGGAAAATCTCCATACGTGAGACATGCAGCAAAAGCACAAAAAGCTACAACTAAGCAGGAAACAACTCAGAGTAGCAACCGGCTGTCTTACTGGACATGCCTCGGTAAAGAAGTTCCTGCAAACAATGGGCTTGTGCGACGAAGACACGAGGTGCAGACTATGCGGAGCAGAGATCGAAACAACCCAACGTATTATATCAGAATGCGATACACTAGCTCGCGGAAGAAAAAAAAAATATTTGCAGAAGATGAACTAGATCCAGACATATACGGCAAACATCCAACAGACCTACTTTGCAGGGAACCAGGGTTTTAGAATGGGTGCAGTAAACAGGAAGATTCAGCACAATAAGCCTCCGGCTGCAGCGTTACTCGGAGTTTAATCACACGACTTCCCCACCAAAAAAAAAAAAAACTATCGAGAATGAAGGTTCGAAACTATTCAGAAAGTCAATATCTAAAAATTGGGAGGCCTATAACCTACACCTATACCCACTCATTGATTACTGATTGTGAGTTGAAGCTCTAATTGCTCAGGTGAAAATATCGAGTTTTTTGAAATTTAAATTATATTTAAAGTATGCCCCAACACCTCCCCCTCTTTCCTATCTATCTACTATAACAAAATCGTAGCCTGGAATCGCTCTGTGAAGTAGGCAGGCACACTTGAAACACAAAAGTTAAATTTTACGTACTCGTTTAGTACTTCGTTAGTGCTTCAATATGCTTGAATCCCCAAATTAGCAACCCTTGTATTTTAGGAGATATTTTGGTTTTTTGAAATCGCCTGCTCACTTCACACCCAGCAGGAACAAGGAAAGCACCAACGTTCGGTTAGAGATAAATGGTTAGCGCTCCGTTAGTGCTTCTATTTGCTTCAATTTCCAAATTAGCAACCCTTGTATTTTCGGAGATATTTCGGTTTTTTGAAATCGCTTGCTCACTTCACACCCAACAGGAACAAGGGAAGCTCCCACGTCCAGTTACAGAAAAATGGTTAGCGCTTCGTTAGTGCTTCAATCCCCAAATTAGCAACCCTTTTATTTTCGGAGATATTTCGGTTTTTGAAATTGCCTGCTCACTTCACACCTAGCAGGAGCAAGGGAAGCATCAACGTTCGGTTCCAGAAAAATGGTAAGTGCTCCCATGTGCTTCAATCCCTAAATTAGCAAACCTTGATTTGCAGAGATATTCCGGTTTTAGAAATCGCCTGCTTAGTTCATACGTAGCAGGATCATTGGAAGCACCAACGTTCAATTGTAGATGGATGGTTAGTCCCGATCCATAACATTTGTGATAAGATGAATATATAACGGCTGCTCAAAAGAGAAACTAAGGCCCGGTTTATTCACCTTCTGATCAACTATCAGGATTTTCTGACGGATAAAAACGCAATCTATAATTCTATTGGTAAGCCAGTTATTCGTCAACCAATAGGATTATTGATTGGCAAATTTGTCTTGTAGATAGATATCAGTAAGTTTATCGGAAGATGAGTAAACCGGCCTAAGCATTTGGAAGCAATTAGTACCTAGTTATCATATTTATAAATAATTCAGATCAGAGTTTATGCTGTTCATATTCTCGGTTCTCGGTCCTGGAAGTATAAGAGTTGTCAAAAGCTGAGGTGGTGCATCATGAAGCACTTACGAAGCCCTAACAATTTATGTACAACTGAAAGTTGGTGCTTTCCATGTTCCTGCTGAGTGTGGAATAAATAGGCGATTTCTGAAAACCGAAATTTTTCTGAAAATATAGGGGTTGCTAATTTGGAGATTGAAGCACATTGAAGCTCTAACCATCTATCTACAACTACTAATCGTTGGTGCTTTCAATGTTCCTACTATGTGTGAACTAAGCAGGCGATTTCTGAAAACCGGAATATCACTGAAAATTCAATTGGGAATTGAAACACATTGAAGGACTAAGCATTTATCTGTAACTGAAAGTTAGTGCTTCCTTTGTTCCAGCTGGGTGTCAGGTGAGCAGGCGATTTCAAAATACCAAAATATCTCTAAAAATACAAGGGTTGCTAATTTGGGGATTGAAGCACATTGAAGCACTAACGAAGCGCTAACCATTTATCTGTAACTGAACGTGGGTGCTTCCCTTGTTCCTGCTGGGTGTGAAGTGAGCAGGCGATTTCTAAGCGAAATATCCTGGAAAATGAAAGGGTTTTTAATTTGGGGATTGAAGCACATTGGAGCACCAATGAAGCCCTAACAATTTATCTACAACTGAAGGTTGGTGCTTTCCTGAAAATATGGGGATTGCTTATTCGGAGATTGAAGCACTAATGAAGCACTATTAACTTATCTGTAATTGAACGTTGGTGTTTCCCTTGTTCCTGCTGGGTGTGAAGTGAGCAAGCGATTTCAAAAAACCAAAATATCTTCAAAAATACAAGGGTTGCTAACTTGGGGATTGAAGCACATTGAGGCATTAACAAAGCACTAACCATCTATCTTCAACTAGACGATTTCAACAAACCGAAATATCTCCGAAAATACGAGGGTTGCTAATTTGGGGATTGAAGCCCATTGAAGCGCTAAACGATTACGTAAAATTTAACTTTTGTGCTTCAAGTGCGCCTGCCTACTTCACAGAGCCGCCTGGAATAGTTACAAACCTGTCGAAATAGAGTTTGTGAGCCATGTTTCTTTGACCCCGATTACGTTGAAATTATCAACTACCGAAATGTTTTTGAATTCCTCGAAATGTGCAGTCAGGGATCTTACATTGAGATTTGCGATATTTAGATAAGTCATTGAACCATTGTGGGACCGACTGGAATGAACAAAATAACCAGTGGTAAAAAGATAAATTGATTGTAGCAGAAGGATATTTTAGGAAATATAGGAAAATCAATATGATTTTTATGACAACAACAAAAATAAATAGGAAAGATGAGAAAAGAGTAGTAAAGACTTGACTTCAAAAATATACAGACAAGACCAGGCTACAAGGCACAATGGGACCAGTTGACTGATACTATGGTGGATCATTGAACGTCCCTGCAAGTGATTGAAATTCGTGTATCTTCGCGGCAGCTCGGCTTTATTCGGCTTCAGCAGCACCGCCTTGATTCGCACAAATCAAGTACAAGCTAATTCGTCTTTATTATTTCCTATGTGTCTAGTTGGTTGGTCCGGTCTGTGGTCTGTATACTTTACAAAAAGTTTGATTGGGCTTTGAAAAATGAAATATTTATGAAATTTATTGAGAGGGTAACGGAAAAAAAATATACTACTGAAAATTAATTTGGTTTTTAGAATGGGAAGATGTGAAGGATATGTTTGCATTTTGTAATGTCATTTAGCGGCTGTCAGCAGCTAGTGGAGCTACAGTCGGCTACAGTCAATTAACAAGAAGAGAAAGGAAATATGATTCTGAGGTTATAACTGACATGGTAGTTATAACCTACAAAAAACTAGAAAATTATAGATCACTTTCCATGAAAATCACCAAAGCGTTGCTCATAACCTTCTATCGGAAGTGCGGACATTCTGCAAAAAGTTACGCAGGAATCTTTGACAAATGCACTTGGAGTCTATTCCCTCATACGCTGTCAGGATATTCCAAATCAGTTAAGATACTCTAACGTCTAGGCTGAAAAGCCTCCAAAGTGTAAACCACTTCCTAACAAGTGCTACAAGCTGGAGACTTAGGAAACCACCACGCTCTCAACATACCGACAGTGTGGGACGGCTGATGGGTAATCAAGAATTTCTTCATCCAATCAACAGAAAATCCCATTAACCTGATACAAAAGTACAAGTTGCACATTTCAGGGCAGGACCAAGAATTTGAACATGAAATTGCTCAGACAACGTTGCCAACAATTACTTTGCAAGGAACTATTTCATGCTCTGGAGCAAATAATACTTTTGAGATTTTAATCCATAAAGTGAACGGAACCTATTTTTACTTCTGCCAACTTTTTTTCTGTCGATTATTGAAGAAAATTGTAAATATTTGTGGTAGTTGGTACTTGGTTCAGTAGTCAATTTCCAAAATGTCTCCAATTTTTTACAGTTTGAAACCGTATTGTGGGACAGGTAAGTATTTAAAGTTACATTCGACCAATTAATTTTTTTAGGACGCTCTGAATTTGAGACCATAACTGTGTGAAATTTGTGTACCACTTTTCAAATAATATGCTTTTACAAGACGACCGACCCGCTTAATATGTTTTCGGTACGCCATATCCGTTATTCATGATCGAATAGCGTCCCATTTTTTATGTTCAATTAAACTCATTAAGAAAAAGTGCGCGAATATGAGCGTGAAATATATTCAATGAAATCGAAATTATATTACGATGAACAGTTTTTAAATATTTATGCACGCATGAAATGACTCTAAAAATAATTCCTGATTGTGATTGTTAATGAAACAAAAAACAAAAACAAATCAATAACATATAGAAATACGTCACTTTTGTTGATAAAATATATCAACATAAATGCATAATATTATTATGTATTTATTAATACCTTTGTTCACAATTGATACAATTACAAGTGCAATGATGTTTGAACTCCTCATCTTTGGTCATTCTAGATCTGTTCGCTTTTTGCCATTCTCCAGAACCGGGATCCATTGTCCAATGCGAGGGCCTTTCATCAACATCCAACTTCTCTCTTCTTCGCTGATGTCTTCTAGGTTTCGGAGTTGTAAGCTTCATTTTTCCACATGTGCATTTATCGCCAGCACAGCAGATTATTTTTCCGACTCTTAACTGGTCAATTTTTCTTATTATTGGTTCCTCACTGTCGCTAGTCTCATCATAATTTATTATGGGTTTTTCCAAAGGCTTGTTTTGTTTGCTACGAGCTTCGAATTCTTGCATAGCTCGTTTCACCCTGTTTCTATTACGGGAATGTAAGGTATCTTGAAGTTCTTCAACTAATTGCAAATATTCCTCATTGTTTTGATAAGGCAGATCTCTCAATCGATCTGAATATTCATATTCGTCTCTATTAGCGTATTCCATATTATATCTATCACTTTCTGGTTGACATCTCAATGAACCTGAGGGTTGATTAAAACCTGCTGGGTGGCATATAAATAATTGAGGTGGCTTTAAACCACAAGTACATTTTTCATGGCATCTGTTACGATATTGTGCAGGCGACGTAGGCCTTCTAGGATGTCGCTGAGGAGCTGGAGGAAGCGGTGGTAAATAATCTGGAATGTCCGTATTGGTGCTACTCGGTGGATAGGCAGTAACATGATAATTGGGCTCTGGATACACCATCATTTGCTCATGGTAAATTGGTTCCTGGGTTCTGTGACTATCAATTGCATTGGCACACCTGCAACAGCTGCAATGTGATGCTTGTGGCAGTTGTTTAGTTTTACATATTGCGCAGCTGCAATTATTCCTTTTACAAATAACATCCTTTTCTGGTAAATCATACTTCGGATCTGAAGATACGCGTGAATAATCAGAAATGTTGCGACGTGATGGAGTACTACTAGAATATTGAGTTTTTTCACCTGGAGTGCGATAAAAATTGTTATCAGAAGTTTGTTGCGTTTTGTCGCTGGACAATATAACTTTGCCAGTTTTAGAGCTTCCAGGCCAATCTTGATGTAGGGGAAACGAGTCTTTTGTTTCAACAATTTTGTCTTGACTTTTTGGTGACGCCATTGCTAAAGATTCAATCTCTTCTTCGTCTGGTATGAGTGTGTTATGTAGGGATATTTTTAATTTAATAGGTGTATGCGACCAGCTAGTTGTCGGTAATTGTTCATTAAATGAAGTACGCGATGATGTGCTTTCTTTTTTTGAACCTAATTTTTGTACAAGACTGATTTCTGTTCTATCGTCTTTATATAGCAGTTGATTAAGTTGAGTACTATGTTGTTTAGCAGCTGCTGGTTGAATTATCCCAGTCTGATTTTCTTTAAGACTGTTCGGCTGCTGGTCGGAAATCGATGCTCTCTTTAAAGTACTATCAGGTGCTTGTTCTAGAAATTTGATTTTTGGCGATTCCTTACTTGCAGATGTGTCAGCTATCGAATCTTTTATGCTTTGATTCGATATTTTGCTGATACGAGATTCTATGCTGGCGGACTTTAGAGATGCCTCGTTTCCTGTCGCTTTTTCTAATTTCGCGCTACCAAATAATAAATTTTGCTGGCTTGAAGAGGGTTCTTCGGATTTCAATGTTAATCCCTCAGGTAGAGTTCCGAAAATTGCACTGCAAGTATTCTCGCTAAGAACACTATCAGCAGAAGGGGGTGATGAGGCTTGACTTGGTAGCAAGTCAGTATTTTCCAATTTCTTATTATTTGTATTTATGCTAGATTTTTTTCCTCTAGAAGTTTCAGTACGTTTCATTGAATCTTCACTAGCTATTCCAGATAATAATTCTTCGGCATTTGCAAAATATTGGAAAAACGAGTCTTTTTTGTTTTTTTGCTGATACTTTGGTGGTAACGAATGCGTTGAGAATTTATTCAATCTTCTAAGTCCTAAAAAAAAATATGATTGTAATTAGGTCATCGTTCCATCAGACCATCTTAGATGTTTGTTGACATTGTTAAGTTAAATTGGGAGAATTACGCCCTTCTTTATGAAACATTCGTTTGCATTAGAAAAAGATGTTGCTTTTTTCGTGATTTGAGGAAAAAATAGAAGTTGGTGACAACCTAAGCAAAAATGAGAGAAGTATCGAGGATTTCTCGTCAAGACGATACTCATTTTCTCTCGAACCTTCGAGATAAGACGAGAGAGAGCGTTTTCTCGTTTCATCTCGTCTCGCGGCATGACTAATTTTCATTCCAAGCTTCTATTTTACTCTGCCCATAGAGGTACCTAATACAGATAAGTAAGAGATTTTTAAATGGAACGGAGTTCGTTTCGGAAGGAGACAAATTCGTACTACTGATCAAACTTTTACTTAAGTATATGATGTATGCTTACCCAGAGCCTCACTAGACCTAACCTTCTTATCACGGCACTCTCTTCCGATGAACTTGCAATTAATCAAATGTTTACACTCTCCACCGCGTATCCTTCGCCCACCAAGCAGTTCTTGCTCCTCTTCTGAAGTATCAGGTGATGACCGGCCCCCAAACGGATACGTAGGAGAAGTATCCGTACTTAGGGCATCCCAATTTTCCTGACAGTAATTATGCGATTTGATTTCAACTTCGTCATCGATATCCAACTGAGTTAAAGGCAGATAACTGTTCTGTTTTTTTCTGCGCTAGAATTTTTTGAATAGAAAAAAAGTGTTGGTTGTCAGAAATTCACAGTACTTCACACAAAATGACAGAGAATGAAACGCTAATCTATGTGCTTGACGTGTTTTGACGCGTTTTATTCTGTAAAGCTACATTTACAGTTGATAAGTTCACTGGCGGTAGTTTGACGTCATTAGGGATCGTTCCTAGCACATTTGAAGATCTAGAGGCGCCAGCCCTAAACATCGACAAGGAAACGTTCATGAAAATGCTGAAACTCTGTCTAGAAGACTATGCAAAAAAGACTGGAAGCTCCGTCAAAGAATCGATATGCATGAGAAAAACACTAGTCCGGCTGTGAGAGGAACGTGTCTGATCGTTGATGACAAATGGACTACCAAACAAATGAGAGCAGATCAAGAAGCAGACCAGGACATCGGGCAAATTCTTCATCTTGAAGAAAATTATAAATGTACGCCAGAGTGGAGGGAAGTGTCAAAAAAGAGCTTGATTTACAAGGCGTTATGGGCTTTCTGGCCGTAGAAAATGGTTTACTTAAAAGAGTTTGGGAATTGCCGATAGGAAATCCACTAAGGGGCCCGGATCACGAGACTCGATCTCGATTGAAATTGATCGAAAATATCAATAGTCGACTTAAAATGCATCACGACACTCGAATTATCGACTCGACTCTATTGAAGTTTCTCGACTACACCATTTCCAACAGTATTTCAAAATGGGTCAAATGTATTTCAAAATAATCACTTTTATGTCCGATTGACCAATAAAGTGCTATTTACAGAACAGTTTTGCGTAAATAAAGTAGCACTTTATTGTACTAGTAAAATAAAGTACTACTTTATTTTACTAGTAAAATAAAGTGCTACTTTATTGCCTACCTAGACTACCTTAGAAGGTAAAACAGGTCCTGACAACCTGCCAAGGTGATACAGGTCTTGACAACCTGCCAAGGTGAAACAGGTATACCTACGCGAATTTTACTTTTTTCATTAAATTTTTTTAATTTTTAACAAAAACCAGTCGCAATCGTACATAAAATCATGTATATAACGCTTACATAAACAGGCTTTATTGACTCATTATTTAATAGCCTCGCTCGCAAGCTCGCTCGGCCATAAAATTATTCGTACAATAAAGCCTTACTTTATGTACTTGTTATATAAATAGCTATTATTTCAAAAATGGATATTTTAATGTCTAATTTGTCACTTTTATTTCCAAATATGTCATTTGTATTTCAAATTAATCAAATGTATTTCAAACTGTATCATTTATACTTCCAAAAAAATCAGATGTATTTCAAAAACATAATTTCTTATATCATCAAAAACTGTAAGGGAGGTACAGGGTGTCTGGTTATAATTTGATTTTTTTAACTGTACGATATAAATAAACTGCTGGAACTTCGATACGCATAAAGAATTTTTTTGCCTATTTTTGAAGTCAAATATCTCAGAAAGTATAAGAGATATTTGATTACGGTTTGAAGCATATTGGGGCGTATTACTTGGTGTTCAAGGTATATGGTATCGTGCTGATAAACAGAAACGTTATCTTCAACATACAGGGTGGACAATAAAACAGTGCAAAGTTTGACAAATTTTAGGGCGTCGCCATTTCTTTTCAAACATACTCCTGCTTTTTTTCTGGGTTTAAGAAGAATCAGTAATTCAATGGTGAAAAACAACTTGAAGGGTTCTTGAATAAATCTCGTAGTTTTGCAGAAATTTCAGTTTAACTGAAAAACTACTTTCATCACCCTGATTCTGTGTCTCAGTTACTCAAAACAATTTTCTTCATTATTGTTGGTTCAACGTTTTCGTCTTTTTTTGTTTTAAGAAGATTTTATACAGGGTGAAAAAAAAATAAAAATTTTAATACCTACTAATTATTGGGAGGTCCGTAAAGATAATTGCGCCTCAGAGTAACTAAAAATAGCACGCGTCGTAACACGTAACATGAACTTTCTCTGCTTTATTGTATAACCATTCAGAGAGCAAAATATGATTATATTATATTTCCTTGGTGGAAAAGCTATTCTGTTCTCGAGACGCCAAGATATTTGGTGAATTATTAGCACGTACCACGTCACTTATTATACAGGGGTGGTAAAAAGTACCGGAACGGTTGAATCTCTTCAAACCCACTTATGCTGCTTTCCCAGATTTTGTTATCTGGAGGTTTCTAGGCAAAAGAAATTGGACAATGATGTAAGGTAAGCTGGGAGATCTGACAGCAGCGCTGATATCATTGAATCATTTAATTTTGTATGTCTGGATAAAAAAAAATTGAGAATGCAGGTTTTTTTAAGCGGGTTTTAAAGAGAATCAACTGTTCCGGTACTTTTTATCACCCCTGTATAAATGGTACCCCTGATGACATGGCACGTGCTAATAATTCATCAAATATCTCGGCGTCTCGAGAACAGAATAGCTTGTCCACCTAGGAAACTTAATATAATCATATTTTGCTCCTAAAATGGTTATACAATAGGCAATTTTTCGCGAGGATAATCAAACATAATCTGATTATGCTGAGTTATTTGCAGAGGCGGCGCGTCGGGGGGGCACGGGGAGGCTCGAGCCCCCCCACTTTTTTTTGTAATACATGAAATTTCTTTCTCATAATTTAAAAAAAAAAAGTAGAGATTAACAAAAATTCCTAAGTTTCAGCTACAGTCAGATTTGCCGGCAAAAAATAAACATCGACTTGTGATTGTTAATATAAAAATGACGTATTTTTTGTTCGTTGTTCCTTGAGAAGGCTGTTTGCTTGAAAGCTCAAAATCATCGTTTTGGGCGTGGGAACCGAAAGAAATTTTCGCCTCCGGCTTTTTTTAGCCCCCCACTTTCTTAGCCTCCCCACTTTTTGAAGGCACGCGCCGCCTCTGGTTATTTGATGCGTCAATTGTGTCATACTTCCCTTACTTCCTCTCCATCCACTTCTGGGCCTGCGAGTGACGTTATTATCAGCAGCTTATAGTAATGACGTCACCGGCAGACCTCTATGGAATGCTTCCGATTCAGGCTGTGCTAGTGAGTTAATTTTTTCGTGGATTTTAAATGTAGAGAAGGCGATTTTCGGTCTGTTCTCACAGAAGAAATTAAGTGTTCTTGATTCTCGAGTATCCCAGAATTTGATGGTAGGGGTCTTAGGGGAGTATGACACAATTGACACATCACATAATCCAGCATAGCATAATCGATTATACTTGATTATTCTCGCGAAAAATTGCCATTAAAGCAGAGCAAGGTTGCTACCATATCAATTGACAAAGAGGACTGTGCCCCCTATAAATCGCAGTAGATGCATGTTACGTGTTTGAACGCGTACTATCTCTATAGTTACTCAGAGGCGCAATTATCTTCACGGGCCATCCAATAATTAGTATTAAAAACTTACTTTTTTTCCACCCTGTATGAAATCTTTTTGGAACAAGAAAAGACGAAAACGTTGAACCAACAATAATGAAGAACATTGTTTCGAATAACTGAGACTAAGAATCAAAGTGATGAAAGTCATTTTTCAGGTTTTTCAGGTAAACTGAAATTTCTACAAAACTACGAGATTTATTCAAAAACCCTTCAAGGTGTTTTTTACCATTGAACTATTGATTCTTCTTGAACCCAGAAAAAAGCAGGAGTATGTTTGAAAAGAAATGCCGATACCCTGAAATTTGTCAAACTTTGCACTGTTTTATTGTCCACCCTGTATGTTGAAGATAACGTTTCTATTTATCAGCACGATACCATATACCTTGAACACCAAACAATGCGCCCCAATATGCTTCAAACCGCAATCAAATATCTCTTATACTTTCTGAGATATTTGACTTCAAAAATAGGCAAAAAATTTCTTTATGCGTATCGAAGTTCCAGCAGTTTAGATACTTTATTTTTTAACTGAATTGGTAATCTTTGAAATAAAACTGACCATTTTTGAAATACATTTCACTAATTTGAAAAATATTTGATGTATTTCGAAATAAATTTGGTTATTTTGAAATACATTTGATGTATTTTGAAATAAAATTTATAAAGATTGAAATCAAATTTATGCTTTTTGATATTCAATTGATGATTTTGAAATACATTTGATATTTTTTTAAATTAAAGTTTTTATTTTGAAATACATTTGATGCTTTCTGAAATCAATTTCATCTATTTTGAACTAAAAGTGGAAATGGTGTAGTTCCAAGCTATCGAAAAATCATTTTTTCAGGTAAATGTCAATTTTCGGAAAATTTAAAATTCTTCAAAGTTCTTTCAAAGTGATTAATTAATAATTTATTAATAAAAGATATGCTGGCAATTGTGCGTGAAAGAATGATGTTGTTGAATAGGAGGCGAGAAAACATCCTATTGCTTCGGAGAAGACAGAGGTTGAAAAGTCATCATAATCCCTTTGATATGTCCGAAATTAGATTCAAAGAGATATTTCGTGTAAGTAAAAACTGTGTACGTGAATTAATAAACGAAGTGAGACAACATGTCCCAGAAAGAGAGAATGTGAGAGGCATTACAGTTGAAAACATGGTCCTGTGTGCTTTGAGATTTTACGCAACAGGCTCGTACCAAACAAAGATGTATAGGAGAACAATATAACTTTGGTATGGCACAAAGTACGGTGCATAAATATGTTCACATAGTAACAGTTGTTATTGAAACCTTTATAGTTCCGCACAAAATACAGTTTCCTCAAACTGAACGAGAAAGAAATTATTTGAAGGTAAATTTTTTGCAAAAATGGGGATTTCCAGGTACTATTGGAGCTGTTGACGGAACACATATAGCTATTTTAAAACCCTTCCAGGATGAGCATAACTACATAAATAGGAAGGGCTATCACTCGATAAACTGCCAGATTAAAGAGAGAAATTCAGTAATCAATGATTATTTGAGAGGAGTATTTGGAAACGAACGATGTTGGTTGGTAGGAGACTCTGGGTATCCGCTATTGCCGTATTTGATGACTCCACTTAGAGTTCCCAACAACAATGCAGAAGCTAACTATAATAGAGCACATATACAAGCAAGAAATTGTGTGGAAAGATGCATCGGACTCTTAAAAATGCGTTTCCGATGCCTATCAAAAGAAAGGACAGCGAGATATAAACCAGAATTTGTCTGCAAACTAGTTAAAGTTTGTGCTGCTCTACATAATATGTGTTTGGATGAAAATTGACTTCATAGAAAATGTTGACCTGCCAGCCAATTACTTAGAAGATGACATGAACATGGGTGCTAATCCAGGAGATGCTGCATGCGTGATTACGTTACGAATGTCATGTTTATGTTTCATTCAATTATATCACTTTGTTTGCCCCTGTGTTTTTCCGTAAGTTTTTTTCAAGTTTTTGTGTGGGTGAGTATACCATTTATCTATGAAATGTTCATTGTCTTTTATTCAACATACAATTATTATAAAAATAGGTACAATAAAATGGCTTCGCGACCTACCCCTAAGCACTGGGAAATCATTTTAGATTGGCTGGAGAGAAATCCAGAAATGGTTTCTGGCCGAGGTATAGGCCCCACGGGCAAATCCAATTTGAAAGAAAAATGGGAGAACTTAGCTATAACATTGAACAGCTTGGGTTATACTAACAAATCAGCTGAAAAATGGATGAAGGTAAGTATTCTCCAATTCAAATTGGTAGAGTTCATTACCTACCATTTCACAAATTATTCTTACGAATATTCTAGATCATGAAAGAAATACGTGATGGTTAGCAAGATTATTTATCTTGCTATTAAAACTGTTTTAATTGTTTTATTTCTAGACATGGACTGATTTCAAATGCAATTTGAAAAGAAAAGCTGCCGATATCAAAAAGGAACAAAACAAAACTGGAGGAGGTCCCTCAACATCAAAGGCGTTAAATGAATTTGAAGAGAGAGCTTTGCAACTGCTAGGATCCACATTTATAGGTCTGTAAGTTGGAGAAGTAGGAGTAAGTATCACTTTATATTGCAGGCTATTTTTCTATAGAGATATATATATGTTCATACCAAATAAACTTGTAGTTGTGACATCGATGACGTCATTTTTGAAATCGTTATTGCCAACCGTGAAAATATTCGGCGTTGGATTGACTTAATTGGAATTTGAATTTCCCGCTAGCCATTCAGTTGATAACACCACTTCAAAAAATGTAATGTTGCCAAATTAAATTCTTGACATTTTGAATTTTGATTGCGTTTTGGCAGTATACGAGTTTTTGGTTTAAGTGCTATTAATTGTGAGCTAGTTTTTCAAAAGCAGTTTGTAGTGCGAAGTGTACAAGATGCCGAAGCAGCTTAACAGCCGTTGCAAAAAACGAATCGCATCCTTGTTACAATATTCCGAACGAGAACGCGATAATAATGGCCCTTTATGTCCCTTGAATGCTGTTAGGAAGGTGAGTTTACAAGTCGATGTGTGACCAAATAGGAATTTTCAATTTGAACTTTATATTCTCTCATTTTTAGCGCGTAGCAGAGGCTTTGAACTTAAGTATATCCACAGTCTGTGATATTTCAAAGACAGTCAAAAATAACGAAGTTTTGGAATCGCCTTCTAAGAAGCGATGCACTTCGAAGAGAGTCTGCGATGTTTCAAAGCTCGATAGTCTATAGCACGACTTCAAATGGAAAAAAGATGACCCAAGACAAGGGCTCATGGAACTTCCTGATATTGCTGTTAAACGCATATCATTTTTGAGGTCTTATCTAAGACTGAAACAGGAGGCTTTGTACCAGTTTGTTTTCTTGGACGAGACTTGGGTTTTTCAAAATGGTACTATTAACCGCTCGTGGCAAGACAACAACAAGCGAAGTGTTAAAACTACCAAAGTTGATGGTAAAAGGTGAATATAAACACGAATACAGAGAGCAGTTGTATATAATGAAATGCTTTTTTAGATACCTATATCATACTTCATGCTGGCAATGAAAATAGATTCATTAAGGTGCGTCGCTCGTATTTTCATCGAACACTCAACTTAACGACTATCATGGTTTCAATGAATCAGCAAAACTTTTTACGTTGGTTCGAAAATCAGCTTTTGAAAAACTTGAGTGAACCACCTGTCATTGTTATAAACAATGCTCCTTACCACAGCATGTTATTAACAAAGACACCTAATAGTTCGTCTACTAAGGCTGAAATTCAAACCGAACAGAAAGTTGAGTATCCAAATACAGCATTTAATCTGAACTTGTGACCCTTTTTGCACGGTAAGTACCTACAATACCAAAATTGTATGCATTTTATGCTCAACTTCTCAAGTATTGCTTTTTCAGGAATAAACCAACAAAAAAATATGTAGTAGATGACTTGGCAGAACAGTATGGACATAAAGTTTTACGACTACCTCCATACCACTGTACTTTTAACCCCATTGAACTTATTATCAATGTTGATGAAGACTCTAGCAATTCTAGCGATTTCAGTGATCCAGTATAATTGAAAATATTCTTGATGGTTCAAATATATTCATAATATTTAATTTTTTATAGTATTTAGAGTGGCTGTAAATAAAATAGGTACTGAGCGTGAGCGTTTCCATTATATTATAATATATTCCATTATTGTTTCTGAAAATATTTTGACCAAAGGAAAATATGCAAGAGACGGCAACGCTGTGCCGGCGGAGCTTGACAACCCGACTATAAGTTTATTTGGTATGAACTATAGTTATTTATTCCTTATAAAAAAAAAACTGTTTACGTAAAAACTAAGCACTTATATTATTTTCAGTTACCATCAAATCAATTAATCAATCAATAGCAAATGTATCGTCTTTGCAAAGCTCTCCCACTCAGCATCAGTCCTCACGTACATCTACTGTGAATACCTGTAAAAATGAGAAACAAGGACCGGATACCAGCATGATATCCAGCACCTCCAATTTACAGGAAAATAATAATAAAAAAAAAACGATTAAATACATCTGTTGAAGACACCTATATACCATATTGAAATCGATCCAAAATACATTGGATAATCATCTTGGTCAAATAGCAGAGCAATTGAAGGACATTGCACATTCAAGAAAAGAGCACTCCACATGTTGTATGTCCAAAAAAGGAGATGAGGACCAATTTTAACATCAGTCCTTATGCAAATAGTCAGAAATTTGGGAAAACTTTAATATTAGATTTTACATGATGGTTTTTTTTTTTAGTATGTTGTTAGAGTTTACTAGATTTCCTGTTAAATTTTTTGTTTGTCTAGGTAGTTAATTTTTTTCAGTATTGAATGTTCAATAATATAATATACATATACATGAAAATAATAGCATTTATTTTAAATGCACTATAACGCCAATAATATGTCAAGTAGACCCAAACGTAAGCTTTATCATTAGGATGATAGAATTATCTGAAATAATTATAAAGTATGAATTCTCTCATATGTTGACCCTCAGCAGCATCTCCTGGATTAGCACCCATGTTCATGTCATCTTCTAAGTCATTGGCTGGCAGGTCAACATTTTCTATGAAGTCAATGTTTTCATCCAAACACATATTATGTAGAGCAGCACAAACTTTAACTAGTTTGCAGACAAATTCTGGTTTATATCTCGCTGTCCTTTCTTTTAATAGGCATCGGAAACGCATTTTTAAGAGTCCGATGCATCTTTCCACACAATTTCTTGCTTGTATATGTGCTCTATTATAGTTAGCTTCTGCATTGTTGTTGGCAACTCTAAGTGGAGTCATCAAATACGGCAATAGCGGATACCCAGAGTCTCCTACCAACCAACATCGTTCGTTTCCAAATACTCTCAAATAATCATTGATTACTGAATTTCTCCAAATGAAACTATCATGAGTAGAGCCACCATAATTTGCAAATACATTTCGTATCTTTAATTTGTCGTCACATATAATTTGGCAGTTTATCGAGTGATCGCCTTTCCTATTTATGTAGTTATGCTCATCCTGGAAGGGTTTTAAAATAGCTATATGTGTTCCGTCAACAGCTCCAATAGTACCTGGAAATCCCCATTTTTGCAAAAAATTTACCTTCAAATAATTTCTTTCTCGTTCAGTTTGAGGAAACTGTATTTTGTGCGGAACTATAAAGGTTTCAATAACATCTGTTACTATGTGAACATATTTATGCACCGTACTTTGTGCCATACCAAAGTTATATTGTTCTCCTATACATCTTTGGTACGAGCCTGTTGCGTAAAATCTCAAAGCACAGAGGACCATGTTTTCAACTTTAATGCCTCTCACATTCTCTCTTTCTGGGACATGTTGTTTCACTTCGTTTATCAATTCACGTACACAGTTTTTACTTAGACGAAATATTTCTTTGAATCTAATTTCGGACATATCAAAGGGATTATGATGACTTCTCAACCTCTGTCTTCTCCGAAGCAATAGGATATTTTCTCGCCTCCTATTCAACAAAATCATTCTTTCACGCACAATTGCCAGCATATCTTTTATTAATAAATTATTAATTAATCACTTTGAAAGAACTTTGAAGAATTTTAAATGTTCGGAAAATTGACATTTACCTGAAAAAATGATTTTTCGATAGCTTGGAACTAGTCGAGAAACTTCAATAGAGTCGAGTCGATAATTCGAGTGTCGTGATGTATTTTAAGTCGACTATTAACATTTTCGATCTATTTCAATCGAGATCGAGTCTCGTGATCCGGGCCCTGGTCATTCCAAAAGATCGAGTAGAAGATGTATTAAAAAAATACATGACGGAACTTCAGGGGCACATTTTGAAGCTAACAAGACTTTGGTCAAAATTCGGGAACGTTTTTACTGGGTCTCCCATTTGAACGAAGAGCGATAGATGTTGCCGGACCATTCTCCGAGTCAGAGCGTGGTAACAAATACATCTTGGTTTTCATGGATTTTCGCTATTCCCAATCAAGAAGCCATCACTATTGCCCAGGTGCTAGTAGACGAAGTTTTCAGTCGTCGTGGTGTGCCACTAGAGTTGCATTCAGATCAGGGACGAAACTTCGAATCTGCAATCTTTGAGAAAATTTGTGAGATCATGGGCATTCGTAAGTCAAGGACAACACGTGATGAAAGTGGTCGCAAAGAATCAGCGAGATTGGGAAAAACACTTACCTCTATTTTTAATGGCATACAGAGCAGCTGTTCACGAGTCAACAGGCGAAAGTCTAGCTAGAATCGTTTTTGGAAGGGAATCCAGAGGGCTGGGACTCTGTAACGAATAGAGATATTTTCTCTATCTCTATTGCCTTCCCCTCTCTATTGATTTTGAAAAGGGAGAAGAAGACAGCAAGTGCCATAGCGATAGGGATAACGATCTCTAGTCCCATCAGAGTCCCAGCCCGTTACCTTGCGATCTGATTTTTGGAATACTTGAAGAAGAACAAAAAGAAATTATTCAAGATTGAGGAAGTAAGGGCACGACTTTTGGGGATACATGATTTTGCTCGGAAGCATATTCAGCTGGCCAGTGACCGAATGAAGACCAGATACGACTTGAAAGCCAATTCAGCCGGATTTCAAGTTGTACATTTGGACAGATTGACGAAATATCATGGGCGCGAAGTTGATCGGGACGATCAACCTTAAAAGGAGGGGTGTCACAGAAGGTTGCGCTTCCGTCACGGTGTACAGAATTGGACAACTGATTCTAGATTTCACGTTGCTCTTCGGGAAAAAGGTCTATCGCGTTTATTCTGGATTATGCAAGAATAGATTAGAGATAAATAAAGGCCGGTATCAGTTAGTAGTTTTTAAGTTTAAGATTGACTGTGATATGATTTAAAGTTTGTTTTTTATTTAAAGATAATTCCCCAAGTCAAAAATTTAGTAACTATGTTGGCAACACAAGCCTTTTCTACATAAAAAATATGAAAGCATTGACAATTTTACATTGTATTGCCAAAATAATGTCATTTGACTTTTATCTTTAAAAAAAAAACATACTTTAGATAGTGCTTATTGTTGAGACTTTAGTTGTTTGGGTTAATTGGTGAAGTAATTAGTGTCAGAGTGTATAGTAACGACACAGATCACCTAGGTACATACAGATGCGAAAGAGCGGTGAATTGGTGATTCAAGGTTATATGTAAACACAACAGGCTGGAACACGCTCACGCACTATAAATGCGATCATCGCGGACGATCTGTGCCTATGCGTCAGGTGGCTGGCGTTCTCGCGGAGCCGTGGTTTCGTAGCTTTGAATCGTCGACGGCAAGGATACTTACTTACGCATCTGTATTTAGGTGATGTGTGATAACGTGGAATAAATTATTTTATTGTTGTGTTAATTGGACTTGGATTTTGGAGTAAACGAACCCAAAATTGTCACGTACCCCAAGGGTCGTCAAGTATTGATATTTCCCGTAGTCTTCGTTAATGCACCGTTCGCTAGAAAGCGTATTCTGATTTTAACGACGAGAGTCAAAAATTGAGCACCAGAGCCGTGACAATATTATTTCATAATGAAGTGGGACGAATATAATAGTATATTAAAATACAAGTTGCAGAAGGCCACATATTCCCGCATGAATTCGAAATTTGACGACGAGCGACGAAGGAGCGAGTGGACGAACGAATGAGTGCGAGAATAGCCTTCTGCAACGTGTATTTTATACTATTTTCTCGATTTTGGATTTTATTTTTCATTTTTAATTTTTTTTTTGTGAACGCTGTTAGTTGGGGATTTTTTATTTTCAAAATATGTCAGTTGGTGTCACTTACTTACCAACCAATTGACAGGTGGATTCTATCATTTTCAATGAACTATAGTCAAAAACTGGAATGCGCACACATTGCCATATCTGCCAAAAAAATGTAGCCATGAAAGACAGATGCCACAAAGGGGAATGTTGTTTTTTTCTGTTGCACGCTGACATATGACGTTTTCGAAAGTTTTGTCATATTTACGTTCACAGTTTTCATCAATTGGAATACGTGTTGGAAGCAATTTCCGCCATTTAACATAATGAGTGCGACAAAAACAGGTATCCCCTCCGCAGCAGCGGCACTAGGCTTCACGTTCGTCAATATGTGTTCGCATTCCAGTTTTTGGTTATAGTTCATTGATCATTTTAGAAGGTTTGACAATTTTGAAGGTACCAATAGGTATACTTTGAAAACTAAATGTCACTAAAAATCGTTGAAGAATGAGCTTCATACTTCAACGATTTTGCGTGCGGGAATAATGACATTCTCACATCAAAATCGAGAAAAGATTTTTTTTTGAACAGAAAAGGATAAACACCTAGAGTTAAAAACTGTGGGCTGTTTGGTCGGTTTTAGAGTCAGTGTACGAGACAAGTGATAAGTAGCACTCCTGATAAAAACAAAGTTGAGATGAATAATACTCAAGAGTTAGGAAGAAATTGTTTCGGAATTAAGGGCCAAAGAAACAATTTTATTAGAAAATATTGAATTATTAAAAGAAAAAATATCCAACTTGTCAACCATAGAATCCGGCAACATTGGAAACAAAAGTTACGCAGCTTATGTGAAGTCACCTTCAAGTCAGCCAACGAATGGATCAAATAGTGGGGCCAACGCAACAGCATTGAAGGAACCAAACTCCAACTGGTCGTGGGCGGCTCCCATAAGCAGTGTTGCAAACAGAAATACTCACAATCCCCCCAGTTCGAGCCATATCCAATTGACGAATAAATCAAAACATCATCATTACCTCAACATGAGGACATCAAATTAACAACAGAATGCTGATTTCAATAAACAGCAACTAAATTCCGGTATTATGCAGGCGCATGCAGCAAATAAATGCAGGAATTAATTAGCTTGAGTCTCACAGAAAACAGTGACGGGGATTGTCTAGCATTTTCAATTTCTTGTTTAATATGCTACTCTGTTTTGCTCTAGTAGATATGATGCTATATACAACTATAAAGAAATAAATGAATGAACAACTATCTTTTCTGTGCCCAGATTTTATTACCTTGAGTACTGCCTTCTACTGAAAGTTTTTTAGCTCAGGTTTGCAAGTTTGGTTAATTGATCTAGGAAGGTTTGATTCAGTACGGAGGGCCCGCTGTTATTGATAAGAATCTTATGTAAAGGAGAGATTTTTTTCATCATCTCTGTTTGAGGTAATGATAAATTGTTGTTTACTTCTTTTGATTTTTCATTTCGATCATGTCATTGAATAGCTGTTTTGTCTCGGCGTTTTCTTTAGACCTGTTCTACCTTTTGATATATGTTCTATAGGCATTTTTCAACATTCACCAGTCATTTTTACACAACCAAACTTTCAGTTCGTATTCTTGGGGTGAAACTGAGCACGCTTTTTTCTATAATTTTCTTCAATGTCAAAATTAGAAGTTTGACAAGTGAAAGCCTTCTTCCGAAATCTAAATGAGGAATCAGCCTTTTTGATCTTGAGACTTGATACCGAAAAGGTTGGTCTCGGCCCTAATTGATTTTGGGCGAGAGTTTTTGGAATTTTGTGCCAGGGAACTCAAGGTTTAGACTAATTTCTTATTGATAATTGTCTGGAGTCGTCCCTTGGTCATTTTGGATTTTGTTTCGGTAAGTTTGAGATTTTTTTCAGGAATATTAACCTACAACACGTGTTCCTTTTTTTTCAATAGGACTCTTCCGAGGAGCTTTTGGAAGTTTAAGACTTCACCTTTGGTCTAGAGTATCCCTCAATTTGAGGTAAGATTATTTCTAATATTTGGGGCTCGATTTGTTTTTTTATACGAACATCGTTATAGGGTCCTAGTGCTAGGCTGTAGCTAGACAGTCTTAGGCTATAGTTGGACAGTTGCTAGGCTGTATTTAGAGAGATTCTAGACTGGATCTGGATTGCTCTCAGTTGGGGCTTTGGTAGCCATTCTTCAGCAACTCTCTTGGTACCACTCTGGCAGAACCACATCGAGTTCTACGTTAAACAGATACAACGTGGATAGGACTCATGACTCACTTACCATACCATAGTCTATCTAATAGTGAGACCAAACCTGTAGATAACCTCACTTTGGAAATTTCTGGATTTTCACATACATTTCACTTGTATACATGTAAGTTGCACTTTTACTATTTAGGCAAATCATATATAAATCATCTGACGCCGAATTACGTCAGTACGTGCCCCTTAAATAAAATTCTAGAATTTTACCCTGAGGTTGCCCAAAGAATAACTTTCACCTTTCTGTGTTAAAGTTGCCTGTTGGTAGAGTGTAACCCATACTGTTTTTTTTTAATCTTCCACAAGTGTTAATAAACAGTTAAAACTGTTTATTTTAAATTCATATATTCATTATTTACATTTTTTTTATTTATTCAAATATTCACAAATTAGGTACAAGCCTAATCCTAAACACCTTTTTTAATAACTTCGTGGCTACTTATTGGCGCAATAGTTAAGTCCTAATAACTTGGTGGCTACACTTTTTGGCGCCTTATTATTATTGTTATTATTTTTTAATAAAGAAAGCCAGATACATTATTGTACCTAATTAGTTGTTTTATTGTTAAGCGCTCCAATTGTACAAGTTTTGTTATAACATCAATAAGTAATATTCCTAGTTAAGTCACCATTAACTTGGTGGCGCCCAAAGGTAAGATGTATACAAGGAACCCATAGACCCATGGCCTCCGGACTGATGCTGACTAGCCGTATGCAGTATAATTAGGCAATTGCCAAAATAAGTACGTTATAATTGTCATCAACAACGTAGAAGGAGATCCCGAAGATATATGGTTGGAACTTGGAAGCAATGAGGATTCATAGTTGTGTAACCAGACTTGCTTCCATTACGATCGCTGCAGATCTAAAACATATCCTAGAACCTATCTTTAAGGATGTGCAATGCGAGGCTCATCCCTCTAAGCACCCAGACCTTTATGCATCAATGAGGATAACTATTAAAAGTGAAGAACTCCGAAATGCTTGTAGGAGAGAGATATGTTTCTCATTTTTTAGCAAAAAGTGGATCCTCAGGAATAGAACTCAGAGTAGGTAAACTAAAGTCTCACGCCTTGAACTTATTTTATCAAAATGTTGGTGATCTACGGACACACATAGGTAACTTTTATACTAATATTCTCAGTGAGGATTATGATATCATTCTGCTGACTGAAACATGGTTTACTGATGGATTTGAAAATGAAGAACTATTTGATGACCGCTACAAAGTATTTCGCAAGGATAGAGTCAACTGTAATGCCTTGAGAGGCGGAGTGATGGTAGCAGCAAAAAAGAATCTGATTTAAGAGGAAGTCAAATTGGACTGTAATATAGATATAGAGTGCTTGTTACTTTCATGTGTCTATGTGTCTGTGTCTATATACCACCAAGGGTAAAATTGAATGTGAGCAACTTCTAGAGAACCTTAACCAAATGAAAATTTTATTGTTTTAGGTTTCCTTCCAGTTCCTTAATTTAAATAACTAAGTCAATTTAACACAATTTTGAATTTTAAGGGTAAACTACTAGATCTAGTTTTTTCTAATATGTCTTTGCCAGGATTGAGTAGATCTGCGTCTCCTTTGGTTGTAGAGGATAATTATTATTATCCAGCGCTTGAATTGTCACTCGATTTGAAATTTAGTCGATATAGTCAAAATAAAAATAAAAATGGAAATAATAATATACATCAATCTTATTGTTATGATTATGCCAGAGGCGATTTCAATCTTCTGTACTACCTGATAAGAGACACAGACTGGGCAACTATGTATGATTGTGATGGTGTAAATGATTGTGCAAGTGTGTTTTATAATAGACTGTATGAATGTATTGAACAAGCCATACCAAAAAAACGCAACAATGGAAAACGAAGATATCCTATTTATTTTAGTGTAGGGTTGGTTAGGGAAGTTAGACGGAAGAACAGGTTACATAGGTTAATTAAGACTGGAAGGGCTCGTGTTGCAAATGTTGGGGAATTTAAAAAACTTAAAACTTCTGTTAAAAAGCAAACCAAAAAAGAATTTTTAGATTATCAAACTAATGTTGACCATATTATTTCACGAGACCCATATAGCTTTTGGACATTTATTGATAGCAGGGGGAAGACCAGAGGCTTTCCATCTGAAATGGTTTTGAATGAGAACACATACAGTGGTTGTCAGAGTATTGCCAATGCTTTCTCGCAGTTCCCTAGCTCAGTTTACCAAACGTCTTCGATATATGATAGTGTGTCCCATTCACAGGGATTTTTCCACTTTTCTACAGTAAGTAAGGAAGATATAAAATTAAGTCTCAACAGACTGAAGCCTAAGAAGGCCACGGGTGGGGATAACATTCCTGCCTATATTTTCAAGGGTTGCTCTCAAATGTTTTTGAAGCCACTGTCATTTCTCTTTAATCTTTCACTAAAAACCAACACATTTTCGATCAGACTGAAGGAATCCATTAACACTCCAGTATTTAAGACGGGTGATACTAGCAATATGCAGAATTATCGACCTATTGGTATCCTGAACACTTTGGCTAAGATTTTTGAAGCTGTCTTGTACAATGATATAATGAAAAGTTTTGAGAATAGATTTGATCCAGAACATCATGGTTTCCTATCAGGCGTGTCTACTGCTAGAAACTTGTGCGTTTTGTCTAGTTTTACTAGTGAAGAAATTGACGTGTCTCGCAGAAATAGAAAAAGAGAGCTTAATTGTTAGAAAGTAATGAAAAATGACATGCGCGCGCAACTCCTGTCTGCAGTGTAGCCAGATTGTATTGTTGCAGAACAAATGTAGACAATACAAATCGAACATTATAACATTAAAGAAGTGATATATTGTCAAGTGTTTCACAACGCCTTGAATCAGACGAAAGAAGAGCTTTAAAGTGTATGTTAACATCGATGGCAATTTTATTTTGATAAATATTTCATCCGGCAACATCGCACAATGAAATTGCAAAGGAATATGTCAAGTGTCATGTATAAGATTAAACGATACTGCGATAAGTTCAAGTAATACGTAAAGTATTAGTTTGCTCTTTGTCGAATTACACGTTACAAAGAAAGAAGGAACGATTAATTCTGAACTCGTCCCTGAATACGAATATGACGTAAGCCCGTAACGTATTGGACGCTCACCTGCAACCCACGAGTTGCGCGCGCACACCAGGTAATAGTTGTATTCCTTTCAAGAGCTTGAAACACTCGAGCTACTCGCTCCGGTGTTTGGTCCCCCCGATTTGCAGGTAAGAGATGCGTGGTGCAACAAACACTTTTCGAAAGGAATAAGCGCGTGAAGCCCTGGAGCTATTCTGGAGCTCCTCCCACGTGTGAAAGGAATACAACTATTACGAGACACGTCAATTGACATAAAGGACATAAAGCTACTTGAAATAATTCGCCGGTATCGGTATCGGTATCCGTAACGCAACTAGATACGTTAACAAGCGAAAAGGCTGTTAAAGCGCTCCCTGTTCCGGTAAACGTTAACGCATCTCATAACCTAGTAATTTTCGTGTCAAAACTGCGGCGTTTTTAAATAAAATTGTTATTTTTTTTGCAATAGAGAAGCACTAAACACACAAGAAACTCAAGAAACTATAAACTAAATAAATTAAATCAACCCGGAAGAAAAGTGAAGTTATATTCATTTAAAATCTGACACATGCGTCAGGAATGTCAAGATACGTTACCGATACGGATACCGCGAGAGGGCCGTAACGTTACGTTGTACGTACGGTATCTCGGCGTCCGTATCGCTTCTGCACATGCGCAGTACGATACCGATACGGATACCACCCAAAAAATACGGAAGCTTTATGTCCCTAATAAGTTGCAGCTGGACCTGATAATGAGAGACTGCCCCAATGAACTATAGCTAAAAACTGGAATGCGCACACATTGCCATATCTGCCAAAAAAATGAAGCCATGAAAGACAGATGCCACAAGGGGGAATGTTGTTTTTTTCTGTTGCTCGCTGACATATGACGTTTTCGAAAATTTTGTCATATTTCCCTTCACAGGTTTCATCAATTGGAATACGTATTGGAAGCAATTTCTGCCATTTAACATAATGAGTGCGACAAAAACAGGTATCCCCTCCGCAGCAGCCGCACTAGGCCTCACGTTCGCCATATGTGTTCGCATTCCAGTTTTTGGTTATAGTTCATTGGACTGCGCAAAGGCATTTGACATGATTGACTATGGTATCTGTGACTCATTGTTGGGTGAGTTTGGCTTTTCAGGTGATGATTGTAACTTGTAATTGTAATTGTAAATTGTAATCAAGGTTTCAACGGGTCAAAATTGGTACATGCCTTTCGGATTGGTTTCAGGCAACCTCTGGTGTCCCTCAAGGAAGTAATTTGGAGCCCCTTCTTTTTTCTATTTTTGTAAATTCACTACCAGGCTGGTCTGACACACTCCTCCTGCTTTATTTTTGCAGATGACTTTAAACTTTTTAAAATTGTACGCACTCTTGATGATTGTCAGCATTTACAAGAGGACCTTGACTCAGTTCTGAAATGCTTCAGGGACCACAACATGGTATTAAATATAGAGAAGTGTGCTATTATGTCTCTAACACGTAAAATTAACTTTATCGAAAATTGTTAGACAATAAATAATCAGACTTTAATCAGGAAAACCAAATGTAGAGACCTGGGAGTGCACCTGCAGGATAATATGAAGTTTAATGGGCATGACAATAATATTGTTAACAAGGTATACAAAATGCTCGGATTTGTGATCAGAAACTCTAAGCATTTTAGCATAAATACAACAACAAGACTATATAATGCCTTAGTCAGACCAAATCTTGAGTATGCATCAATAATATGGGCACCGGAGGCTGAAACATACATCAATCTTATCGAGAAAGTGCGAAAAAGATTTCTTAGACATTTATATTTTAAGAAGTATGGAATATATCCCTACCTAGTGCCTACCAGTAACTTGCCAGACATTTTGAATATGCAGTCTTCACAACAGAGGAGGAATATGCATAGTGTTCTATTTCTGTATAATATCTTAAATAGTATCAAATACAAAACATGTAATTTAATTAACTTTGTACAGTTCCACGTGCCAAAGATTAATTTAAGACAAGAGTGGCCTATTTTCTGCTAGCCCTTCTAGTACTTCTCCTATAAGTCACATGCAGGGCCACTGCAACATTTCAATTAAGAACAATAATATAGTTTTTTTTTTATTGTAGTGTAAAGGATATAAAATAGTTATTTTTGTATCAAGTGCGCGAAATGTCATTTTGGTGATCGAGAACGAAATTTTTTTGACGACGCGTAGCGGAGTCAAAAAATCAATCGAGATCACCAAAAACATTTCGCGCCCGAGTTGCAAACAATATTTTTTCTACAACTCTATTCAAATATCGATCATTCGAAGCCAAAATTGCATTTACAATCAAAGGCAGGTGAATTTTAATTATTTTTTGGCATCCTGACAGGCATGTGTCACCATGACACCAGTGTGCGAACTAGCTATTTCGCACACTAGGGTGCGAATTAGCTAGTTCGCACACTGATGTCATGGGAACGTTAAAAAATCAATACCTGGGAAAAAAGTGTCCCTTCGCAAACTGTCATGAGTGTGCGAACATCATCATTTTTTGACAGTTGTAGAAAAAAATTATTTACGAGGAATTAATTGAAGTTGAAATTTGATAAAGGCTTCTATCCTAAGGAAATGTGCCTAACTAAAAGTCTGATGCTGGTTGTTTTTAGATTCGTTTAGTGTTTAAGTAGTTTTACGTTTTGCTTAGGGTAGGATTTGTAGGCTAGTAACAAGCACTCTCACATGTCATTACTGCTCCGGCGGTGTTTGTAAGAGGTACCTTTTAAATAAATAAATAAAAATACATATTATAAGGTTTTTTCCGAATTTGTTCTAATTTCAGGCATAATCGTTGTTATTATTTGCAGTTCGATCATTATCAATATTCAATCCAATAAAATGCGTTTGCAAAAATACCAGGATATCGATTTTAAGTTTTTACGGCTTAAGCTCTATGTTTCAAGGACAATGTTTATTGGTACATGGATACCTTGAACATGACTCTTTTTTTTTGACATTGTGATATACAGGGTGTTCCATCAAAAATAGTGGAGAATTTCGATGTTGAAAAACAGCATTTTTTTTTACTGGCCCTGTATAAGTATCAGAAAAATTTGCAACTTACTAAAGAAATCTTTAGGCCAAGAGAAGTCGAATGGCACGAAGCGCAGGTAGCTAGCACACCCTGGCGCCCGGATCCCGAACCCACGATTCGATAGTGTCGTCTATGTAATTTATATGGACGATAATATCGAATTGTGGGTTCGGGATCCAGGTCCAGGACCCGTTGTTGCAGTGGCCCTGCATGTGACTTATAGAGGAAGTACTAGAAGGGCTAGCAGAAAATAGGTCACTTTTGTCTCAAATTAATCTTTGGCACGTGGAACTGTACAAAGTTAATTAAATTACATGTTTTGTATTTGAGATATTATACAGAAATAGGTTTAAAAGTTATAAGGATCCAGAGATGTGGTATTTTATGAGAATACTTATAAGGAAAACGTTTCAGTACCTTTCGATAATTCACAGCAGGAATCAATTTCAATTGAGTCTAAACTGGAAGTTATCAATTAAGTTATCGCTGATGATCAAGCTGAAAATGATGAAGCAAGAAATGGTAGTAGGAATAAATCCTTAGGTGAAAAAAAAAAAGACCAAAGCATATGGAACAAGAGTTAAGACGTGGTGCTTAAAGATCTAGGAAAATCAAATTAGTCCCTGATCATATACTCTACTATGCATCAAAAAAAGTAAGCGAGCCTTGCAAGCGCAAGTGCAAGAAACCTTAGCTTGTGAATGTAGTGATGGGTGGAAGAATGCCATAGATGAAGAAATGAAATCAATGAAGTGGACTTTCCTAAAGATAGAAAAATTATTCAGTGTAAATAGGTGTATCGAATACAAGATGGTGTGAATGAGGAAAAAAAGATTCACAGCTCGTCTCGTTGCCAAGGGTCACACACAAAAACATGTCGAGGAGTACTTATACAGAGACATTTTCTCCAGTGGTATGAAATTCAACCATTCATTAATTTTTTACATTGTCTGTAAATTTCAATTTAGAAACAGACCACATGTTACTAGAGCCTTTTTAAATAATGACTTGAATGAAAAGATTTTCATGACCGAACCAGAGGGATATATGTCGGTAACAAAAAAAAAGAATGTGGAACAAGAAAGTTGAACAAATCCTGGTTGGTTTGGGATTTCAAAAATCTCAATATGTTGAAATTTCTTTGACTTTTTCGAATAATGATACAGATACAGAGAAAGATAATTTAAAGAATATTTTGTCTAAAAATGTAAAAATTAAGGATTTGGGTCTTATCAAAAGTGGCTTGAGGTTAATTATAAAATATGATAAGTGAAATCATGATAATATGTATTAGAATTAATCAAATGGATTATAATTTCAAACTGGGAGCTAACAATAAAAAGGTCAACCTACTAGATAAAAATATTCCATATCAGTATTTAATTAGGTCATTAATGTTTCTCGTAGTAAATTCACATCCTGGGTCAGTTTTGCTGTGAAAATTGTTATACAGATGTTCATTTTCAACATGCAAAATGAGTTTGACGTTATCAAAAGGAGGGACTCTTGAGAGGCAGTTGGTTTTGAATAAAGGTAATGATAATATTTGTGGATATTAGGGCGCAGATTGAAGAAACGACATTAATGATGAAAAAAATGAAAATCGGACAGTGAATATGGGTTTTAAAGTTGCAAGGGATATTTGTTGGGAGGCTAGAAAACAAAGTTGCATGAGATTATCCAGCACTGAAGCAGAGTATGTTTCCTATCATGGGCCACAAAACAGGCTATTTCTTAGCTATATTTTAAATGAGCTTCTGGGTTTGGAAGATGCAATTTCGATTCCTGATGATGAATCAAAGTGCCCAGAAATTGGTAGGTAATACTATGTTTAACAATCCTGTGTACCTATTAATGTCAAGTATCATTTTTAACAGATGCAGTTGGATTGGCGATATTGAGTTAAATTATATGACACCGGATAAAGCGATAGCTGATATTTTCACTAAAAGTTTGCATGGACCAAAACAAAATAAACGTGTGAAATATTTAGACTTAGAATAGGTACATAGATTATTTAGGTACCTATTGCTGGATTGAGGGAGGCTGTTGGAGATGTTTTAATCTAGAATGGCCTGCTAATATGGTGAATTTAAAGGTAAGTTTATGATAACGAGATGCAGTTTCGTGATCTCTGTTTTTTAGAATATTCAATCGTAATTTTTGGTGTAGGTAATTGTTGTTCTGGTTTCGTGTTTTTTTTACGTTCAAATATAAATTTATTTATTAAACTACCAACATTCCCGCCAATGTCTATGCTTTTGTAGTACCCAAGACAGGTTCCTGTTCTATATCTAAAAACAGACAAAAGGGCCTGCAGACGCGTCATAAACTAAGGGATGAAGACGGAAGGTAACCGAGGAGTATCAGATGAGCACGAACCCTTCATCGATCATCACGAATTACTTCTGCTTACAAAATAAGATCTTTCTGTGTAGTTTTTGCTAAATACAGTTCGTTTTGTTGAATAACTTTGCTTTTCATTTCCTAAATGTAGATACAAAACAACAAGAGGATTTAGAACTTTCCATCAGTGAGCTTGCCAACTGTAAACGTAGGTCATTATCCTATTAAATCTAGGAAAATTAAATTGCTTACCTTCGGTAGCAATTTCTTAAATATATTGAAAATTGTTTTGGATTTTTTATTGCCACATTGACATGCTACATCAGTGCACATTTTGTTTGTCGCGTCGTAATATTCTTTCACTCTCCTATTCTGTGCCCTACTAAATTCATAACTACTCATAGAGCTCGGTGAATCCACTGCTTGATTACTATATTGAGTGAATGTATTTCTTGGTGGTATCCTATTATTAGAAGATTCATTTATTTGGTCGCTCGTAACATTTCGTCTCCTTAAAACTGGCGTTGCGCTACTGTCAACCTCTGGAGAATTTTGAAGATTTGATAGAGCTGAAGAAGAATCTAGAGTCCTTTGTGACAATGACCTGGAGGAGATTTCGGATAATTCTCCATACGTTACATAATTGAATCTAGAAATTGTATATATATTTATTATTGGAAGTTAAAATATAATAGAGAAGGTCACTAACCTGTTGCTCAAAATCGGATTATCACATGAACATTTTGGCTCAGATTTTTCCAAAAAAGATAAATCAAGTTTTGGTACAATATTTCGTAATTCCTCTTCAGTTTCGGAACTTGCCTTTAAAGTGGACCGTATTTCAATATCCGAACACCTACAATATTTGCAGTCTGCGCTGGTACTTGTGAACATGGTACTTTTTGGTGTATATTCAATGGCAGGATCAATATCGGGACAAATACAAGGAAAATCAGGTGGCAGATCTTTTATGATTCTACGAACTTCCTTGTGAATGTCCTTGATTTCCTTAGGTAGACCAATAAATTCAACGTGTTTTGGGATAGATGATGTAGAGCATTTACAGGAGTCTATAAGTGGTACCTCTTCAGCATTTTTGTTGCCATCATCGCCTATAAAGAAGTAGGTATATGAAAATTAGGTATTATAAATATATGTATAAAAAAACGTGACTTTAAAACAAATGCTGATTGAATATTCTTACTATCACTATCACTAAGCTCCTTATCCACTTTTACGTCCAATCTCACCGAAGCAGCACTTCCTTTGGGAACTGTTAGTCTATTATCAATATCAATGCATAAATCTTGATTGTCATCTCTAAAAGATTCCATACTGGCTTCGTCCGGAATTGTTTGTTTTTCTACATCCTTCCAAGCAATCGGGGAAGGAAAAGGTTCCTGATCTTTATTGTCCTGATATGAATAGGAATAATCCGAGTCGCTTTTCTCTTGGTCCTTATCTTCAGGTTCTGCCTTGTCTTCATCTTCTTTTCCAATAAGCGGTTCCTTGTCATCGTCTTCAGGTTTACCACATGGCAACCAAGGACATTTACGTTTCTTTTTTGGTGGTGGCGGCTCGTCACCAGATGAATCTCTGTAATGTTGGACTATTATTATTAATGTATTTAAAGGGATACTGTTATATCACTGTTCTTCGTCAAAATCATCCAAGTCCCCATATTCAATGGGTTTCAAACAAATCGGGCATATATTGTTAAGGTCTGCAAAACATTCAAGACAGAATAATCCAGGGCAGTTTGGAGTATGACATTTTATAAATTTGTTCTTGTCTTTTTCGCGAAAAACTTCTCCACAAAGTAAACAGGTTTTCTGTGCATCTCCGAAGCATATTCTAAATACGGCACAACTAAAAATTCAAACAAAATATAATTGGCAGTTTTTTTAGCCGACGGATTAAGGACTTTGGAAAATATGATACCATACATTTCCTAATATCTCGACTCTGCTAGTTTCACAATCGTTATGCAAGATGAAATATCAGATATGTTCTTGAGCCGAAAAAACTCTCCATGTTGCTTCTAAATCATTTAATAGTCATTGCATTCTAGTACTTCAGGTGTTACGATAAATTTATCATTTTAGTAACATGTTCCATTTCTTCCAATTTCCATTATAAAGTTCGCCATTTGAGAATGAACAAAATAATTGTTTAAAATTTGAAAAATTTGAAAAATTTGAAAAGTATTTACTAAATTTAATTAATTCAATATAATATCAGTATTAGTATTGCCATCTATCCTAAAATGAGCATAAAAATGCAAATATCTGTTAATAATAGAAGTACCTAATAACGTACCGCCATCTAGTACCCAATAAATTTATTTTAAAATTGTGGTAGGTTTCTTTAAATATTTTCATTATTCCTCATTGATATTTTTGTATGAAGAACTTATGTTTATCCTGCTTTAGCCATTTATTGTTTGATTCTCCCATTATCGTCTCAAGAAGGAGAGTGCTGAAAGGGTGAAGTTCTAGGATAGAAATCCGGATAGGTTGAGAATTCGTTTAAAAAGTTTTAATTAAACCACCCCAAGAATTTTGAGAGTTCCTTCTATCTATTTCACCCTCAGCTTTATCTTGTAGTACTAATAGTAGGTACCTTAACTTAAAAGGAAAATTTATCTATTTGGGGAAAATCTAGAGATTTCAGGAATTTAGTATTCCAAAATTTGGTGAAACTGACACCGTAAATACTTTTCTGGGTGCCTATTCCACAAGATCATCATTTGGAGTCTGGATCAGCTGGAGTGACGCCACTCCAGCTCCAGCAATCTATCCTGTTTCCTGAATATAGGAAACAACCTGAAGAGCTCCGGATTGGAAAAGATACATACCGTATCAGTGTCACCGGAAAAACCAAGCTGTTATAACTTTCAAATTTTAAAAAGTAACATTATTACTCACAAAGACCAAATAAAATTATTGTTTGTTGGAATTTGAGTGGTTTCATTCGTACATAAATGAGCTACACGTATTATTTATTTTTGAATTCCTCAACCCTATAGGTTCCTTTGCTCTAAATTACAAATAAGTAAATTTATTTGTAACACAGGTAAGAATTTTCAGAGACAGTCACAACTAAATGTCGATTTGAAGACTTGCATGAAACTTCATAGTCTCCACTTTTCAATAAATGTACTTAAATATGGCCTTCAATCTTTTGAATTTGTGACTGATAAAAAAGCCTTTTGAATTTTTAATCCGTCATGCTTTTCCTTGAAGCAAGAGGGGAAAGTTTCGTTTTCCAAAGTCCTCAATTTGTTCTGCTCAAAATATAAAGATTTGCATAGCCGATAGCCACTATACTCAAAACATTACTTTAACTTGGATTTAATTAGGTCTTTACAGCTCATTTCGTCAGAGCCGCCTTGCATTCCAAACTTTTTCCTCAATTTTCTTCTAGTAAGAAGAAGAAAAGAAGTCCTGTATCTCAAAATGTGATTGTATAACCAAATAGTCCTTTGCTTCGCTCTCACCGGATAATAATATCCCATAATATAGTTTCGAAATCTTAAACCATAAGGTTCGAGTACTGTTAGTATCCAGCACAACAAAATTGTAATACCTACGGAAGAAATATCAAAACTCAATTATAAAATCGACCCAAGTGTGTTACCTATTTGAATATATCGGTCAAAATCAGGTGGGATTGGAATTGGTAGACAGGGGACTGTATCAATTTCAAGTTTGATACCAACAGGCTGAAAGGCATTGACAATAGATCGGAGAAGGGTTGCTATAAAGCCATCTCCTTGGATGTGAGCAACTGGGAGGTTGGGTGCTAAAAAAAAGGTGTTAATGAATAATTGGTGTAAATCTAGATCATTCTACCTTGTATTTTAGATTGGTATCTGGCATGGCGCGATATTAGAGTCATTAGCCAGTAGATGCTATAATCTGCTATCATGTGCGTTGCTAATTTTACTGAAGCTGTCACCAAAGTCGTTATGGCTTTTGAGAGTTGTTTTCTTTCCACACGAGCCAAAGCTAAAGATTTTATCTAAAAATAAAATCTTTCAATTATGAAAAATAATTTTTATCATTTAACATTACAGGAACATACAACTGTTTTTCACTTTTAGTTAGCGGAAGTACTGTTTGCTTTCCCAGTTTGGCTCGTCGTAGATCTATAAATCGGAAATTCTTTGTGATGTAGATGTTATCGTATCTTTCACTAGTTAGGTATTTTATTCTGTAATAGACCACCCTGAAACGAAAACACCAAATATTGGTCCGTGAAGCTAACATTTAAATTTGGAAAATACTTACTGAAAAATTAAAAACAGAAAGAAAAGCATGCAAGCAGAAGTCATGAAATTGAAAAAGGCCACCACGTGTCTGCTTCTATATTTAATTTCTGCAACGATTTCTTTGGCTATTTCGGTCATGCTTTTTGAAGCTTTTGTTTGGAATTCAAATTTATGTGAAAACTTGATTCTCACGTAAAACATTGTTTTCATATGACGAACAAACGTTTTAACCTCTAAGAAAAAAAATATGATGGAATTAAAATCTCAACCAGAACTGGAAATGTTATACATCTTTCAATTAGTGCAATATTGGACAATCTTGCAAATACTGCCTGCTGATGAGATAAATCGCGAATGGAGTTTCAGCGAATTTGAGACGAACAGAAGCGAATTATATTGTCATAGCTCTGGAGTGCGTGACAGAAATATTGGGTTCGTTTATTCCAAAATCAAAGTCCAAATAACAAACAATAATTTATTCCACGTTACTACGCACTCTGAAAATTATTAACTCAAACAACTTAACTCTTGATAATTATCACTATCAAAAACGTATCACAGCCAATCCTGAACTTAAAAACTGCTAACTAATACCGGCTTTTATATATTCGTAATCCATTCTTGTAAAATCCAGAATAAACGCGATAATTTCCTTTCTTGAACAGGGCAGTATTTTCTAGATTTTCAGGTGAAAGCCTCACACTGCCCTCTTCCTAAGGTTGATCGCCCCGATCAACTTCCCTTGATATTCCGTCAATCTGTCCAGATGTACAACTTTCATCTTACTCGCGCTGATTTCGATAAGCCAAATCATTGATCATCTTGATTATTCTGTGGGGTCCTTCCCACGCTGAAGACAATTTCGGTGACAATCCTTTCTTTCTTGTGGGATTATACAGCCACACTAGATCATCTTCTTGAAATCCAGCTGAATTGGTTTTCAAGTCGTATCTGGTCTTTATTCGGTCACTGGCCAGCTGAATATGCTCCTGAGCGAAATCATGTATCCCCAGGAGTCGTGCCCTTACTTCGTCGGCATAATCTCCAATTTCTTTTCTTTCTTCTTCCGGTATTTCAAACATCAGAT